TTCCTCCTCACAGCCGCCAGTGACAGCCAGCAGCCTGGCTGTCCGAGCAAGATGCCATAGCGACCCAGGCGGCCCGCATGGCATCAGGGAGATGTCCTGGCCGGGCCCCGCCGTGCCTCGGGCCCCATAGCGGCCGCCATAGGTCGCTATGGTGATTGTTACGCCACTGGACGGAACCCTTGCATGTTATTAGCAACTTCCCCATTATAGATGCTACCCTGGTCCCTACTACAACTTGGATCCTCCGTTACCACCACTACTAATATCATCTAACCCCTGCTGGGAGTTAACCTCAACCCTACCTAGGGGGCCACTGGTACCACTTAGTAAGCACAGGACGGAGGAGCCTCCCGATACCTTATCCCTACTTGACGTCTCACTACTCCTCAGCAGCACTGTATGTATCTTCCTACTTCTCCTCATGGGGGTTCCCCTTAGGAAACTCGAAAGAGATTTAGCTCCCCCCACGGCGCATGATGTTTGCAATTCCAAACTCTCCGTTTACAGTCTGAGAGTGACGCCCGGAATTCAAAACTGATCAGCCGTAACTCTCTAAGGCCCGGTTCACACCCGGGCGCGTTGTAGCGCGTTCCTACGCTCTGCAAAACGCTCAAACACCGAAAATCCCATTATTTCCTATGGGTAGGGTTCACACCCGGGCGCCCTACGCCCAAAGAAGCACAGGAGCTTCTTTGGGGCGTTCTTGTCGCGCGTTTCCATTGAGATACAGCCAGGTAGCCCTCGGAAACGCACATTTGTCGCCGCGCGTAAAAACGCGCAGCACGAAACGCGCGACAAACGCGCACATTCGATACGCCTAGGTGTGAACCCAGCCTTAAGGATAGAGCAAGAGACTGTGTGTGTGTGTGTGCGCGTGTGCTCACAATTGCCCGACTCCGCAGCTGAGATCCTTCCCAGCAATCCTAACGGCGTTACAACATGTTGCACATCTGCGGTCAAGTTTTGGTAAGCTAGATCAATACTTTAGGTCAGGAAGTCTAGGAATTCTTTAGGAACTGGTGACATTACCAAGGCTACATATATGGTGTGGCTGGAACCAGAGTCATACCACTTACTCCCAGTAGATGGTCCACAACACAAAATGGCGTGCACAATGGTTGACTGACGGGTAAACATTATACTGTATAAAAGAAGCTTAGCATTGCATTGCTGTCCCATTTCTGATTTTTGCCCCATCTTATACCGTGTTTCCCCAAAAATAAAACACTGTCTTATATTTATTTTCACTCTTATTTTCGGGGTAGATCTTATTTTTTTTTGTAAAGGAGAATTATAAGGGGGGTGATTTTCACTCAGCCTCATAATCTGAGCCGACCTGTGACAATGAAACTGTCACGCGTCGGCTCAGTAGATCGGGAAGTGAGCGAACACATACCGGCGCTCGCTCACTTCTCGATCTATCAGTGCCAAGAGCCGTGACTGTCACTCACGGCTCCCTGCAGGGATTCCCCCCCCCCC